GTGGCGCCTGAGAAGTCTTCACTCTGGTGAAGTTGATGCACCGACCCTGGAAGACAAAAGAAAAGGTCCAAACCAGTCAGAAAGGTCACACGGTATCGAATGCCTCCAGCATTCCCAGTTTTCCCAGCTCAGTTAGTACCCCAGGGTCGGTTCTGAGTGACCGCAAGGGCAGCAGGCCAGGGTGGAGGGGCAGGGGCTCACAGGCTTTTGGACCCCGGGGAGGTTTCTCATGGGCGCTCATGTTCTCTCCTCCTGAGGAGCCGACAGCAAAGGGGGGGGAGGGTCAATCCTTCATACAAGGGGGCCCAGACCCACCTCCAGTCGCATGCCCAGTTTGCTGGCGGGTGGAAGGTGCCGTTTGTAGCCTGCATAAATTGACTTGTGAACTGCCCAGGTTTAAGTCCTTCAAGTGCTACAAGGAGGTCTATAAGCAGCACGCTTTTGCTCTTAGCGACTCAACTAAACCATTGAAATGCATTCAGGGAGGGAACCTCTTGTCAGGTTTAGCCCTCTGTATGACCCTAGCGACTCAACTAAACCACTGAAATGCGTTCAGGGAGGGAACATCTTGTCAGGTTTAGCCCTCTGTATGACCCTCACTTGGCCGCAAAGGACAACACGGTCAATGTCGGTGAAACGTCTACCGCCCCTGCAGAAAAGCTCCTTCCCTTCTGCCTTTCTGGCCTTTCCCAAAAGCCGCGCAGGACCAAGGAGCCTCAGGGACGGGGAAGGCCCTGCCGGGATGGGTGGGATGCGAAGACCACCAAACCCTAGCTATGACCTCAGGGCTTTAGCAGGCGCTCAGAGACCCACCACCTGTTCTCTGATCCAAGCTCATCTCTGAAAGCACTGGTGCTTATTCCTCAATCATCTCGCCTAGGCTGGGCTGGGCTGGGCTGGGCTGGCTGGCCAGCCATCAGTTATGTCTCAGTTTTATGCTGATGAACTGACCTCTTTGCATTTACACAGCCTGTGAGCCACAAATCACACACAGCGCCTCAGGAAGAAATACATTCCATTTCCCCCACCCGGTCTCCACCTCACGCCCCAGGAAGAGAGGCCAAAAGCCCAGGCGGTGTCCTTTCTAACGAGTTTGCCGAAGATGGAAAGGTCCCTCACAGCTTTTAAGGGACATCAGCTTCTGCTTCCCAGTGAGGAAAGGGGGTCCACTCGCTCATTGCCAAAGAAGCTGCCCTGCTAACAGCTGGGCAGATGTGAATTCAGGCCTGAGAAGGATCCCGATCAGATCAAGCTGAATGGGGTTGTTTCCCACGCCACCAAATAAGAGCCTGGACTGAATCCTGTGGTTTGCACACACCCCGGCTAGAAAAGCCCATTGTGCAGAGCAACACATGTCCACACCAGGAAGTTTAGAAGCCCTAAACGTCTCGTCTCAAGTACGTACATTCTATATGTACTCTAGACGATGGACAGGAAAAACCATGTGGCACCAGGCTGCTCTAAATACCCCTCCACCACGGATTGCTCAAGGAACGAAGGCACGGGATCTCGCGGCCATTTTGAAAGAGAGAAGAGGGAGTGAGAAGAACTGGTTGTAAAGACAAGGAAGAAAGACGGTTGGGTGGACGAGGCGGGCAAGGCATTTCTGGCTACATGCCTGAAGTACTGAACACACCTAATCCATGCAAGAAAAGAAGGCTGCCAATCCATGAGGACAACCGGATGGAGAAATAGCTCCCGTTCTGAATGGCTTTGGAGGCAGTTATGGTGTGAGCCATTTCTAACAGAGCACAACTTGCACGGGCATTAGATGATCCAGCTCAACCCTGATCCATACACAAGCTGGATTTTTTTTTGGGGGGGGGTCCAGCAGAATCCTAGAATCATGGAGTTGGAAGGGGCCCATAAGGCCATCAAGTCCAACCCCCTGCATGAAGCAGCAATCCAAATCAAAGGATATCTGTCTCCTCTCTTGAATCTCTCCAGTGTTGGGAGCGCTCACCGTCTCTCAAAGTAATGGGTTCCATTGTCGTAGAGTTAAGAAAATTTCCCTCTGATATTCAACCTAAATCTGGCTTCCTTTAACTTGAGCCCATGATTATTGTGTCCTGCACTCTGGAATGATGATCGAGAACAGATCCTGCCCCTCCTCTGTAGGACAGCCCTCTCAAGTATCTGAAGAGGGCTGTCCTCTCTTCCCTCCATCTCTTTCAGTCCTCCATCCCAGGGCTTGATTTCCAGTCTCCTGCTCTCTCTTGAACATGCCCAGCTCATTGACCTCCTCCTTCAAGTCCCGTGTCCCGTACGGCTGCTCCTTTGGGGGGGGGGCTGGGCTGGAGTGATGCCTCCATAGACCGGAAAGGTCACTCGGAGGGAGATCGCTCCCAGCAAAGCAACCCTTTCCTAGCAATGCCAAGGCTGAGAGACTCCACTGAAAAGCCTGGAGAAAAAAATGAAGCCGCCTCAGGAGACGTGGACAGGAAGCAGATCTTGGTCGGGCCTTGGAATTTTTGTCCTATGTTCTTTTGATGTTCTAGAATTTTGTCCAGTGTCCAAAGGAAAACACAGAAAAACTCCTCTGTGCATTTCCAGGCCTTCAGAATCCATAATTCAATCTTGTGTGTTTTGTTTTTCCTTTTGCCTTTTTTTCCGAGAAACCAGTTCCCAGAGTTTGCTTGCGTCCTGGACCGACATGGCATGCAACTTTCCCTCAGTCTTGGCTGCTCAAACAGTGTTAAACCATGATTCTGACTGTATTTATTTTATTATTTAGGTTCTTTCTCTCTCTCTCTCTTTTTTTAATAATAAAAGGAGGCAGCAGCCAAGGAAGCTCAGCCAGAAATAAATATGCTTAAAATTACCTCTCTCTATATATATTCATTGGGTGGGGAAATGCAAAGAATTTTGATCCAGCCAGATCAACAAAATTAATTATTTCACAATTTTTTACAATCCCGGCTTCCAATATAATACTTATGGGAGATAATTTCCTGGGTGAATTTAGATCCCAGGGCATATGAAATTCTTTGCATTTCCCCACCCAACGAATACATCAAAACGGAGAATCCAGGAGCCAGTGAATGGTTAGGGGTACAATGGGAGTCACTGTTCCGTGCAACTAAGCAGGTAGACATCTGGAGAGCAAACCAGAGGAAAGAACATTGGATGCTTTTCCACCAGAGCAGAACGTACATAGCTGGTGCATTTGGCATGTGCATAAAGCACAGAACATGGGGGGAAAGATCCTTGGGCAGTGGTTTCCAACCCTGGGTCTCCAGATGTTCCTGGACAACAACTCCCAGAAATCCTGGCCAACCAGGATTTATTTATAGGCTGCCTTTCTCCCGATAAGGGCAACCAAGGTGGCTCCCAAGAGGCCACGACTTGCCTTTGGGCCCTTCTGCATGCAAAGGTTCGGTTCCACCGCTGACGAACATCCATTGGATCATTTGGGATGCGTTCCTCAAAGCACATCATGCAGGGAATTAACAACCGTGTACAACAGTGAGCAGAAGAATAATATAAATGAAGAAAGAAATCTGAAAAGTTCAGAGCCTAGATCCTTTTGGGGAAAAACAAATTAAACCAAGGCATGGGTGCTAATCCCACGTTCTCAACAGTTCGAGGAGAGCTTCTGTTTGTTTGCTGTTTTAGGATCTGGTCCAAGAATGACTTGTACGGAGAGAAGATACTGCTTGGGCTCATTTGGGGAGGAAAGGAAGTGCTGGTTTGTGAATGCAAGAGGTTTTGCAGGAGAAATTCGAATGGGCTTTCTCCATAGTCACTGATGGAAATGTGCACTCCTGTCATTAGAGGGGGTTTCCCCCCTTGGGAATGACCAATCTGTGAAGGAAGGACCTACAGGACACCCCCGGCTGGGAATCTTTTCGCACCTTGTCCAAGGGGAAGCCTCAGCTGTGGAATTGCTTCAAAGTCAATCCTTAAGAACAAAGATCAAAAGCTTTCCAGAGTGGCTGATGGGACGGGAGACAGCCTCTGCATGTAGTGGTGTAGGCATGAAAGCTTGCCTGCATCCCATGTGTACAACAGACAACAGTGAGGTTGCGAGAAGCCTTGTAACTTTGCAGCCCTACCAACACAGTTTTACACATGTGCGCATGCGCGCACACAAGCCAGAGGGAATGGGGCTAGAAAAAGAAAGGGGAGGAGAGGATTAGCTGAAGGCTGGGGCTCTCAAGACTTGTTCTTTTTGGATATCGGACATGCAGACAGAAAAGCTCCCTGTTGGTTGTTTGCCTTCTGTTTATGCTCTCTACATGTCTGTATTGATAGAAATTATGTTATGAAGAAACTTCAAATGCCTTGGCTTCTCTCCTTACCTGACAGAACAAAACTCTAGTAGGGCAGGTGCCTGTGGCACTCCTTGCTACTTACAAATACACTTCTTCCTTAAAACATGGTTTAATTCCTAAAACTAGTGCCCTCCGGAGCCCTAACTCCCACTATTCCCAGGCAGTAAAACCAATATCACACTATTCAAGTGCTTTTTACATATAAAGGTAATTTTGAAAGATGTTTTTGAGGAACCAAACTTACTAAAATTAAGGCAGATTATGAAGCTGCTTGGTGATATTCCAGTCACTGGCCTGTTGTTGTTTAAGAGCTGGATGCCCTGCCATTTCTCAGAAATACAGAAAGGGATCATCACTCCCAGCTCTTTTCTGTTGTTGTTGTTTTTTTTTTTTTTTTTTTGGCTCACCATCATCCCAAAAAGCTAGAGAAGAAATTTACTAGTGGGCCACTGCAAAGTTCCAGGGGGAAAAAAAATGAATGTCTGGAGTGAATTTCCCAGGCTTGTATGAAAGATATGTTGACAGCAAGACGAGTGGAAAGGGACTCTGTTTCCAAACTCTGCAGAAGCATCAACAGAGTGGATAGTGACCGTCCTAGATGGAGGGGCAGGCATCATAGGGAATGAGGTGGAGGGAAGGGCAAATGGGACTTGCCACCACCAGGAATACCTCCCCCCCAGGGTGACCTTCTGGAGGGCAACGCCTATGCTTTGTCTACAGAAGGGAATCTCACTTTCAGCTTCAGGAGATCTGGAAAGAAGTCCTCTGAAAC